TTCTGTTTTATGTAATGTAACCACTTGGAAGCTTTTGTTCAGAAATAACTCTGCAAGTATTCTACCATAAGTTTAATGGGATATCATTACTACAGAAATTCTGGAAATTTATACAAATACAATGACAAATCTACCTCTGTTTGATTCAAGCTGCTTGTGCATGCTTTCTCCTCCCTCTCTCCCTGAAGTGTCTGCTACTGATTAATTAGTAGATTGGTTCTTATTTTGGTACAATTACCAAAACTTTTTTTATCCCTCTTGTAAGGTAAGGAGGGAGAAGCTATAGGAATGTCATACAGGCTGCAGGGATGCAGGCAGCTCTTGCTCTTCAGTGCCTTTGCCAGGCTATGAAACCCCATGTCTCCACCACGGGATAAATGAATGGGTAGTACCATTGGAAAGGGACATCACCACAGGCAGATGTTTACTTCTGTGATCTGTGCAGCCTGGCTGGGAACATATGGCCATGGGAAGGGGGGGTAACAACTGGCAAAGGGGTGTTTCAGGTAAAGGTGAGCCAGAGGCTTTCATGCCAAGAGTATGAAAGAGCAGACATTTGCATTATACTTTTGTAACCTGCTCCTCCTGAGCTTTGCTGCTGCCTAGTAGCACTAAGGGTTTGGAGTATCTGTGCACCAGAAAGCTTTCCTAAATCAATAGTCTCCTGTTGCTACATAAATACCTAACTGGAGCAGAGATGTTTATTTTCGAAGTGGGAGATGTTTCTTCTGTGACAATGTTTTATTATAATGATTTTGATCCTGAACCTGCAATCTTTACATGAAGACAAGGCTCCCCTTGATTTCAGTGCAAGCATTGTCTAAGGATTTCAGAATTAGCTCTTTGCTTTTATTTTTATTGAAAAACAAGCCTATGCTTGACAAGATAAAAACAGTAAGTAGATCATGTCAGGGAGACAAACTGCTGTGAGAAATTTCTAGCAGGAAAAACAGAGCTTTATGATTACATGGCAATAAGTTGTGAGGTTCAAATTCTAAGGGTTTTCCAGGGAAAAATACTAATGCACTACTGTGAAGGGTACCTATTCTACCAGGTGAAAAGTCCCAACACAGCACACGCCTCTGGCACCTCTCTATTAGAGACTACACAAACAAGTAAAGGTTGCAGCACTGAAATGAAGAAAATACTTCCATGAAAGCTTAAAACATCCACGAAATTAAACCACATTTTTACCTAAGGGGTTTTGAGGGAAGACTGTACGTCGGTCTGGCCATACCTTATGCCACCAAAAGGGCCCTGATCGCAAGGTGGATATAAGCTTATCTGGGAGTGATTTGCAGAGGGAACCACCCAGCACACAAACCGGCAAAGACCCAAGCCCAAACCCAGCGCACCAAGCTCTACAGCTCACAGTAATTACAGAAGCATGGAAATGGCAGCAAAGAGGCTGGGGTGGGCAAGGGTGGGGGACTGCCCTTCAGCCCTGCTGTGCAGTTTGTATAGGCAAAAAGTCCACAGGAGTGAAGCAGGCACGGGAGGCTGGGAGCACCTGGCAAACACGGAGCTGGGGCTTCACTGGGTGCCTGATCCACACCCCCTGCATCAGCAGACCCCCCAAAAAGCCTAGGGCAAAATGCCAGCAGACAGGGACAGCCTGAAGATGCTCTGGCAAACAGGAGAAAATGGGGTGTCTGGGGTTTTGCTTAGGGGGGGTGCAGTTTAGGGAGTGATGAGCGAGGCTGTTGTTTTAAACCAAGCATTCCTACTAGGAGCAGAAGGTTGTGAATGCACTGCCTGACCCACAGCTGTTTGCTGAGCCGCGATGCGTGCTTCGTGCCCTGCTGATGTGCTGATGGAGGTGGGTGCTCCCAGAAGTTTGTCCCAGTTCTGGTTTTATCAAATCAAAGGATCGGTGTTTTTGCAGGCACGGGCACAGCAAGGAGGAATGTGGGGATGCATTGTTGGAGAGGTAGGGGAAGAGTGAGGGAGAACGTGTGCTACATTAAAAAGCCCCCCATTGCCCAGAAGGGGGCACAGGAACCTGAATTTGGTAACTTAGATCTAAGGCACCGGATTTCAAAGGTGGGGAGCAGTGGGGCCACACGCCGGCTAAGCCTGCAGCCCCTCCAGCACCTTGTGCAGGCTGCAGGCAGGGAAAAGCGGGTGTCCCCGCTGCCTCCCCCATTAGGAGTCTGCATCACATACTTGTCAGCAGCGGAGGTGCGTCAGCATCAAAGGAGCTTTCGGTCCGTCCTCACAGCAGGCTGCCAAGCCGCTGTGACGCGATTTTGCAGCCCCCTTCACCCTGCTTTAAACGGAGATAACACCGGGACAGCACGTTTAATTAATCTAATTGATCAACGCGAACCGCAGACACCGTCCCTCCGCGAGCAAAACGGGTGCAGAGCCGGCTTCTCCCGCCGTGACACCCCCTCCCCGTCCGTCCCTTCCCCCCCGCGGGACCCACCTGCCCGCTTCATAAACGCCTTTTGCCGCACCACGTTATTTCCCCGGCCCGCGAAAGCCTCCGGCAACAGGGAAACTCGCTGCGGCGCGACCGCTACCGAACTTCCGTGAGCGGCCGTAGTGCTTGTGTGTGTGAACATGCGGCAAACAACCTCACGGAATCAACGCTCTAGAAAACGGAGCCGTTCCCCTACCCACCCCCGGCAGCGTTCTAGAGCCCCGCCCTGGCTCCGCAGCCGCCGCCCGGCTCCGCAGTGTCGGGGGCTGCCCCCCCCGTCACCTGATTACCACCGCCCCGCGCGCGAGCGCACCCCACCGCAGCGCACCGCAGCGCACTGGGGTCGTGTTTCCCCCTCCCATTACCTCCTTCATTCCCTCCCTCTTTCCCAGACTCCCTCCCGGGAGCGCGGTGGGGGCGGGGGTTTCCCGGTATATACGGCTCCGCCGCCCCCGCCCCTGCCTGCCTCCTGCAGTACGGGAGGCTGTGAAGCGCGGCTGTTGCCGCTGACGGGCCGGGCCGGGCCGGGCCGGGCCGGGCCGGGCCGGGCCGCGCCGCGCCAGGTAGCCGAACAGTGTCACACTGGGATTGCTGCGAGGTCAGTGTGCGGAGCCCCGGTCCCTCTCCACCTTCTACTCCTCCCTTCCCAGTTGGGGGCGGGGGGAGCGGTGCCGCCGTAGGAGGGTGCGGGAGGAGTGAAGGGGGGGCTCGCCCGGGTCGTACCTGTTGCGGAGCTCAGGGACTGTGGGTGCGTGGTGGCGGTGGCAGCCTGTAGCTGCCTGCGCCGTCGGGGCGGGGGTAGAGCCCTGCGGAGCCCCGCTGCAGCGGAGTGGCTTTGCACTCCCCGTCACCGTATGCGCGGTGCCGGCGCGGAGGAGTGCGAGTGGCTGCTCGGTCTGGCCAGGGTAACGGTGAGAGCAGCCCCCGCCCGTCCGCACCTGACCTGCAGCAGCCCCCGCCTGAGCTCTTCCTGGAAAGTTTCCAGAGCTCCTTAAAATGGGAAGCGGCACCAGGAAAGCTGAGCTCCCGGCGGCTACGCTCCAGCGAATGCGACTGGCTCCTGCCTCGGTCTGCCGCCGGCACCAGCGCATCCGCAGCACCGGGCGTAGTCTGGTCGGGTTGGGTGGCGGAGGGCAGCGAGGGCTCGGATCCTAGAGAAGGTATGCGGAGAGAAGGTTTTGAAGTATCTCAGCCGCTGGGGTGTGTGGTTCGGGTTGGATTTGAGTTAAAATCCTTCTTAACTTCTGTAGGCATCACATTCTAGCTACTATTTACCTAATGAGGATCAAAACAAAGCACTTTTTTTTTTTTTAATCCAGTATATGGTGGGGACAAAAAAAAAAAAAACCAACCCACAAATCAACAATCTATTCCAACTGTCAGCGTGTTGGGGAAGAAAACCCACGAACCAACAATCTATTCCAACTGTCAGCGTGTTGGGGAAGAGCAGCTGCTTTCCGAAAGCACGCATTTGCAGGGCAGGTTTTGGGATGCAGACAGTGCTGCCCTGGAAGGTGCACAGGAAGGTTCCAGAAAGCAAGGTGGGTGCTGTCCGCTCTGTGGAAGCGCCCCAGAGTGTATCCATCTCTTGCTAGGGACTGCGCAAGGGAAGTGAGCAGTCTGGATTCCACATAGACATAGTCCACCCCACTGTAAGCCCGTGGGGATGATGGCTAAAGAGGCTATGCTAAAGATTAAGAGAGCACAGCTTCCCTCGTGCAGTCGTGGTTTGGTGACCACACTGTAGCTCCATGCAGTCATTAGCAAGGACCCATCAGAAAATGCTTTTACTGTGCTGCTTCTACTGAAGTGGTTTTGAGAAATCCAGGTTGCTACAACCTGGAAGAAGTCTTAAAACAGCAATTGCTGGTGGTGCTCCCTTGCACGGAGCTCTATTCTCCTGCAGTAGAGGACTAGCTCTCTTCGTGGCAAGGGTGTTAATTGACATGCTTAATGCAGCAGGGTGGGTTTTTACTGTTTTCTGACAAACTACACCAATTATACAAAATCACTGAGGGGGTGACCTACTTGGAGGGAGAACGGGAAAAAAGAGTGTTTGAGGAGACCTTGATTTCAAACATCACCTTGCATGTCCTAACCAATCAGGGTTATTACCTCCTGAAGGTGTGAATTGTATGGCATGAAAGCTTCCCTTCTTTTTTCTTTTACTTTTTCTTTTTTTTTTTCTTGCAGCTTTAGCAGGAAGGAGATAGTTACTCAAGAGCATGCAATTCATGTGTTTGTTAAACATTCCTGCATTGTGTCAAGAGGTTAAAATACCTAGAGTGTGTCTCCTCATCCTATCTCAACCTGTATTTAAAATCAGAGTATCATTAGCAAAATTGTAGGTAGTTGTGGGAAAGGAGGGTATGTTTTATGGTTGAAAGTCAGAAAGCCAACAAATAACACTTTCACAAATACCTGGGTCTTGCAGGTCTTCAACATGGTTGGTACTGAACAGCTACCTTCCTGCATAGCTCAGTGTAAGTACAGGAGGTGTTCCTATGAATTTTTGTGTGTTTGTGGATTGTGGTAGATTGATGGTTTCTTTTTAAGTAGGTAGGTTGATTGTGACAAATGTTCAACGTAGCATATTGCAGATGGTCTTGGTTGGGAGGCATCATGGGTAATATCTGAAAGGCTCTGCTTTTCATACTCCCCCACAAAAAGAGTAACTAGGGAAGAATTTGCCTTGATGTCCAGTGCTAATGTTACCAGCAGCTATTCCCTGTGAAGGAATGAGATACATTACAATTAATTTGTGGCAATGTTATGGCTTTTCTCAAGCCATTGAAATGTTGGAAGGTAGGTACCCCAAGAATTTCATTAGTACCACTCAACAGTCAATGAATAGATGAAAACCACAAAGCAGAACAAAGGTATCGTAAGAAATAAAACTTAATAGGAAAATAGTGTTTTTAATGTAATAAAAATATAAACTGTCTTACTGGCATCGTGAATCATCTGCGTATTAAATACCTGTTTAGAAGGGAAGAGTTGGCCGCATTTCACCACAGGTTAAATAATTGTGGGTTAATAGGATTCTGTGAAATATATGCTGGGAAATGTTAGTGTACAAAGTAATGATTTTTCTTAACATGCCTGCATTTTACCTTGAAAAGAAGTCCGCAGTTCTTCAGACTCTTTTGTACTGCATAGATGCACGATGGCTATCTGGAGATATAAAATGGATTTTAGAAAGGTGCTCTGGAAGGGGTAAATAATGCTCATAAGATCAATTTTAGAAATGGGGGAAGGGAGGGAATTGGGCCTTCCTGTAAAACCCATGTCCTACCTGATTATTTTTTCTTTAATATATCAGGCTAAACAATGCTGTGTTTTGACTTGTGTTAACATAATACTGTTGCTGGCTAGTTTTAGGCTTGTATTTTAGAATAACGACCAGGGCTAGAAGTTCTTTTGGATTAAACTGATTTGTACATAAACCTTGGAGAACATGATATTCCTTAAAGTTGTTTTGAAAGCAAAAAATATTTTCTGTACTTCAGTGTCTACAGTACTTTCTGATAGTGCGTACTTGGTATTTACTGTAATTTACAGCTGCCTTGAATCAGTTACATAAATAGTGGTTAAGTAAATGTGACGTTCTTCTATGAGAACCTTGTCATTTACTATTTTTATAAATTAGGTGGTTTAAGTTCATTTGTTTAATGAAAATATTATAACTTGGATTTCATAAGTAATAAAGTTTTTAACATTTTCACATACTGTGCATTTGTCTTGTGTCAATATATCTGCATAGTTCAAGGAGAGGACACAATAATATTAATCTTATTTTAACCATTATGTTTAATATATTGTATGCAGAGGGATTGAGGTTAATGCAGGTGATGTGTGTGGGAAAAATCCTTGTCCTTGAAATATTTTTAGGAACAACAATTGACCAATATAGGCTTCCCTGTTTTGAGGGTGGGAGTGGGTGCTTTGGAGAATGATTCTGTTTGTTTGTTTCTTCTGGTAATTCTTCATTTTTAAAGAATTGGTTTCCTAGTTTTAGAAACCAGCAAGGGAGAGAGAAATGGGAGAGCTTATTACAGGAAAAGGTTAGTACTATCCTGTTCCCTTATTGTTTTATTCATGGGGTTTTTCCTCGTCCTGTCTGACCTGACGATGGATTATTTGGGGAGAGAAAGGAGGGAGTGTGTTTTCAAGGCAGAGATGCATAGCGGAGGGGATGTTCAATTAGAACATTGTAATACAGCCCTACAGCCTAATGGAGTGAGAAGATGACAAGTCTCAGCCAGCTGGGTGGGGCACAATGCAGTGCTAACTGTAAGCCTTTTGTCTAATAAAAATGTCTGAAACCAAGTGATTGTCTGGCAATCAGCATCCCACTTGACCTTTTTAAGGACAGGAAAACAAAGGTAATGAATGTATCTTTCAGTGCCACCCAGTTTGTCGGGATTTTTGTGCATTGCTAGAGAGCCACAATGACTCCTGTGGCTCTGGTTCCCAGCGCAGCATGGCTATTCAAAGTTTGAAAGATTATTTGTGATATAGTGCCTGTTGAAATTGTTAAACCCTTAAGCAAAAGAAAAGCCCCGTGTAGAGCTGCTAAACTACTTTGCCTGACTGTTTTTAAGGCTTCTTTTCTTGTCAGTGCAGTGAATTAACTTCACCAGAGTTTCAGAGGTTGCTGGAAAATACAAATCTTGTTGTTCCTAAGCTGCACTTTAAGTCTTCTGTATTACTGAATGGTTGGAATTACTATATAATTACAGAAAACCTAGTGCATTGTCCAAGTTAAATGTAAGCATTGTTTAAAAACCTTGTTTTAATGAGATACAACAGTCTTAAATGCTCTTGCTACAAAAATTAACTTGAGCTTTTTTAAATACTGCATGGTTATCAAAGAATTCGTAACATTTTGCAAGCAGGATACTTGCAAGACATTTATTTTGTTTTAAGGCTCTAGAATGTGAAATTAAGTCTAATAATCCCAGATATGTGTGAACAGCTATTTATGTTTTGCTAAATTTGAAACAGTATAAATGTTAGGGCTTGTGCAAGACTTAAGTAAGCTTGAATCTTTCGAAAACTGATGCAGAAGATCATCCATGTGAGGGGAATTTTATATGGTTGTGAGGTACCTTGGAAATAATTAAACTAATGTTTATGCTGGTTTTGTTGGTCCATTAAATGCTTAATTACTTCCTTTGAACATGATTGAGGGGGTTCATTTACAAATTAATACTTATTTTTTAATGCCAGGTGACAGTATCATCACTGAAATGTGTACTTCTCTGTGCTTTACACTTTATGTAGAGACAGTTTAATTTGCATGTATCGAAAAGAAAATGGTGGCTTTTCATCTGTTATTGAAGACTGAATAGAAAACTGATGTGATGTCTTAACACTGGGGCACTGTTTTGCAAAGAATAACATACATGCTGAAGCATCATCGTAGAATTAGACAAACTTTAAAATGAGTAGTGAATGGTTTGAGATGCAGTTCATTTCTGCTGCACTTAATATCTGAATGTTATAATGGATGTCTGCATTAACAGAACACATTAGGGCTTATGTGTTGTAGACAAAATAGGGAATAGGCTAAAGAGGGGGAATGTAAGTGCTATCCAGTAGCTGACTTTTCTTAAGCTTACCTTAGGATATTCAATACTAAGATGAAAAAGTATAAATGGTAAACAGTATGTATTTATCATCTATGCAGTATTGACCTAGATGAAAATGAAACAAGTAATAATCAGCATTTTAAATAGAACATTAAAAATGAATCTCTAAGACTTGGAAACGTGTAATCAGTGTAAATTGGAGGGGAGGAGAAGGAAGAACCATTGCAGTGTGCTCTACTACTTCAGCTCTTTATACAGAAGTAGGTATCGTGATGGAGAAGATAAAGCAACTGCCAAAATTTGCTGGATTTCAAATCAACTAGTAGCACTTGTGAATTATACAGGGTATTTCTGCAAATCCGTGTGTTGCGTCTGTGCTTTGTTGGAGCAGCAGGCCTATTTGCAAAGCTGTTTGTCACACTGTCGTTTTTATTATAATAGGGCTGATATAGAAATATTCCTGTGATACGTCTAAAGAAAAGACAAATGGCAGCATTTATAGTAGGTGGCAGATTGAACTGCAATATGTGTGTAGGGAGAAGGGGGTTGGTGTTGTCTTGTTTCCCACCCCTAGCCCCATTACCAAAGAGGGGATTGACATTATTTTGTTTAAATATGGTGCATGTTATGTTGGACTAATGGGAAGATTAACACAATTGGGCTCTTAACCTGGTTAAGGACCCTAGGTCCTGCTCCAAGGTAAACAATGGATATTTTCTTGTTTGCCCAGCAGGTCTGACTGTGTGGAAAAATAGCTGGGAGCCAGTTCTTTTCTTTTTAACCGCTTGTCTTGCACATATACATTAAATTTAAGGGTGTTTTGGAAGAAGTGTGGCCTTTCTAACAAGTCAAAATACTTGGATTTTGTTGTTTTATTTCAGCTGAAGGGCCCAATCCCATTTTAATACTTTTATATTTAAAGAGACCACCCATTAATTTCAAGGTGAAAAAAATACGAAGTGACCTCTTTAGATGATATAAAGCAACCGCTGATTGCTCTTGTGGACTTGTCTGCTGTTCATCCTCTGTAGTGAATGTGGTCCTTAGTAATTCAGCTATATACTGATAATTTTTATGTACATTTGGAATTTAACTTTTATTAAAGCGTAAGAGGGTATAAATCATGAATGAGGAAAGCAAAGATGAGGAAAACTTTTGTTCTGTTTTGTTTCTCAGGGAAAAACAGCTTTCCCTGCTGAACAAATTTTATTTCTCCTTCTTCCCTGCTCTAAGGGGTAGCATATGAAGGGATGCAAGTCTTAAAAGATGATGCAGAAAAGTGCAAAGCTGTGCCCAAGTTCCTTGGTGTTGTTATGGTTCTCATCTTCCCCCTGTAGAACCCACCTGGCAATGGATAGATCTGGCTGATTTTTTTTCTGCTCTTTGTTCTGGTGATAACCAGTGTTCATCATGGAGGTTGACAAATAGGGAATAAATTATTTTAATGATTTACTAAAGTGCAAACTTAAATTAGAATGTTTCTGAAGCTAGATGTGGTCTAGATTTAGACACCATCTGAAAGAAGAGTTGTAAATTATTTTTATAAGCTATCAAGGTAATGATGCCATGGGTGGTTTTGAAGCATATTGCAGGAAAATTATTGCCTCCAGTTGTCTTGGCTGTGCTTACAGCAGCATGAGCTCTGCCCCAAATCCTCCACCAGTGCCAGTTTGTGCTCCCATTAGCTGAGCCAAGAGCCCTTTGCTTCGAGATGCACCTTGCACTTCTTGCATCCATGCACACCTCTGTTAGCACAAGCTCAGGGTTTTTACTCAGCTTGCAGCATGCTGTGGACTTTCATCCTGAGCTGCCTGACACATCAAGACCTCTTAAATATTCACAAGGTTGAGACATAAAGTGCTGGTGTCATGGCAGTCAGTGTGAAGGGTGTTGTTGACTGAAGCTGAGCTGAGGTGTTCCCTGTCATGTAGCAGTTGTGCACCACCTTCTCCTTGTGTGTTGTCCTCCTGAGAGATGAGGCTTAGCAAAAGGCATTGTATGAGTCTCTTACTTACCACCTGCTTTCAATTTAGTTGATAACTGACTAGAACAGGTCTACTCTAGCCTAAAGAAAGAAGAATCTTTGAGCAGTTAGTGACTCATGTCGTTGCATGGCTGCTTTGAGGAGATTGGCAGCCTTGGCCTGCCAAAACAAGTACTAGAGCTTTGGAACTAGCTCTTCTTGCGAATCACTCATGAGGACTTGTATTTCTACCAGCTTTCAGTAAACCCACTCTTGGCATGCTGTGGTAGTTACCAGTAAAGATGCTGGTGGTGGTATCTTT